ATGTTCTAAAAATCCACATATTTACTTCCTATTTTTTTTCCTACAGGACTTTTGCATTCAAAACCAGAAATGAATGACCAGGAACCTGAGGGGCCCTATGCCGTGTGACCCAGAATATATTCACATTCTGCCAGAGGTGACTGTGCTTCCTGTCTGCGATGATAACTTGTGTTGTATCACTTTCAGCCTTTTTACATTCTGACACTTCATGTCATTTAAGCCTTTCCATGGAGTGTTTGTAGTTTGTCAGGAAAACCTACCCTCCAGGGAAATACTGCTAGGAAACCTTGTTTATGTAGCTTTGCAGGTTAATGTTGAAAGAGAACCTGCCATTAATCTTCAATAAACCAGAAGGTGGTGGCCATGTTGCTTTATGCTCCTCTTTTGGCCACTCTTCCTGAGGGGAGGTGGCAGGTATATACCATAATGTCAGTGCCTAGGGCAGAAACGTTTGTTAATATTTTGAGGCTTAATGTTGCCCTATACCTCTAATGTGATAACGTTCTCACTTTTTTTCCCCATTGGCCAGTTCTGGACATTTTAAAGCTAAATTCAGCAAGATAACGGTAGGAAGAATGGAGAAAAGAGATGTTAAAAGGAGTCAGAGGACTTTTAAATTTCAGGAAACTTGAAGCCATTGCTCCTTTCTCGTTTGGTGCTTAGAACAGCTGAAAGTAGTAAGGGGTATAAAGCAGACTATGCTGCCTGCAATAACACATTCTAGCATCAAGTCTTTACAAAATTATCTGACAAAATGGGAGGAGCTTGTACAAATGTGGTGTCATTCAGGTTTTTTGGAGAACAGCATGTCATATAAATATGGCCCTACCTGGGAGTGGTGATATTACATTCTCCTCTCTCTCTGTTTCCACTAGTGCGACATAGTGGGAATTTAATTGCGGCTAGAAGAGATTGTTGAGAATTGGGGGCGAGCTAATGAGGATTTGATTTGCTTAATTACATGATAAAACTTTTGTTGGGCTTTATTTATATTTCATATTATGGTTATGCTATTCCAAGTTTCCAGACAGGCAACACAGCACTTTTTAAACAGAGATGCAGACCTAAAGGTTCACTTCATACCAGATGTTTTATTTCACTGATCCTGATGAGCTACTTTTATTATATTTTGGGTGCATTTTCAAAACTGTGTAAAAGAAATTCAGTGACCACTGGAGCTATCAGACTCTCTTGGTCTTTGGTGTATAGCAGGTCCTGGTATTCAAAGCCAATTGGAATTCATGTGGTTTTACAATGGAGCTTTATCATGCTAAAAAGTTGGGGCAAATCCCAGTGTTCCAGCAACCTTGGAGCTGCTCTTGCATGCCCTGATATAGCTGATCGGTGGGGGTTCATGAAAGGCAACTCCTTGCTATTTGGCACATATTCACCTAAAGGACAGTAACCTTTTTTTGGCTGGATATGTTTAGTAATTTTACACTTTAATCCATGTTGAGAAAACTATGGAAACTGGGATTGCTTACCTCTTCAGAAAATTCTAATTGCCTGGCTGCCATGTGAATCCTTTGGCTTCAGTATTTACTGATGTTGAATAAGTATAGAAATAAGGTAGCGGAATTATTTATTTTTGTTGTATGCTTGTTCTAGGTCTATGATTCAATTATTTAATTTGCAGGTATTGAACAGCTACTTTGAAATTCTTACCCAATTTTTATCTTCTTAGATATAGTTTGGGTGGGTTGTAAACTCCATTATTGCATTGCTTGTGCAGTCAGTTTTTTTTTTCGTTACTTTATTTGCACCCTACATAGACTGGATTGCCAAGCAACTGGATTGTTCAGATCGGACAATCTGTGTACACAAAAAAAGCCTGGTTTCCTGCGTTCGAGCCAAAGTCAGGGTCAGTCACCAGAATCTTTACTAATACAGCCTCTTTAAGCAGTACAATGTTTACAGCAGACAGTCCCTGAAAACGTTGTGCACATTGTGTCTCTCCTGACTGTTCATAGCTTCCAGAAATCAGGGGGGAAAAAAAGTAGCCAGCTTAGAGTGCAATCCAAAGATAGACTTTACCTTCAGGGAAAGTACAATTGCCTTTTGTGCTGGAGCATCCGTTCCCTCGCTCGCTGGCTATTCTTCCTTGACGGTACTTCTGATTTTAATTGAGGTCACCCATCCATTCTAAGTATGAGAACTTTTACTGCATTTCCAATTGCCTATTGTACCCAGCTGACCAATTTGTGTGATGCGCTGGAAGTGGCCACACTGTGGGCAGATCATTAGCGTGAAGAAGACAGGCCGCTGTTCTTGACCTTGTACATTGAATCGCTCCTTGTGTTTGCTTTGTGCAGTGTAAAAGAAGAAAGGCTTGAGAGGGGTAAGATGTATGTTCCTCCTCGAGGAACTGAAACAGCCAACTTTTTGTCTTTTTAATTCGTTCAAAGAATAAAATGAGCTTACTGCCTTGTTTAAGTCAATGTGTCAGGTCATTAAAGCATTCGGATCAATTATAAACCAAGGCAGGCGCCTTGTGATTGCTACAAATACTTGTCTTCAGCTTATTTTTTCTATGTGCCCTTTCTCCTAGAAGCAATACTGTACATATGCTCCATAAAGTAGCCAAAAGAAATTTGAATAGGGGATTGGGGAAAGGTGTTTCAGGGGTTCAATGGTGATTGGCCTGCTTTAAGGGAAGGATATTAGCCCTCTAGCTCATTGTTACTCTTGCACTTTCTTTTCTCTCTTTTTGTTCTACCTGATGTAGAGTACAATCACTTCACAGACTACAGAGAAGGAAATTAAATTCATGAGAAATAGTGTATATTCTGAGAGGTTCGGAAACCACCATTAATATATTCAGATTCACCTGAACCTTTAGTCTAATCTGCACCAAGAAGAATAGACAACATAATGTGATCTCTTTATTATATTGTTAATATGCACCCCTGATTGTTGTTATTGTCTCTGAATAATCACTCAGGACTGTATTTTACATGGTTTCTTTATTATAAAATGCAATAACTAGTGCAACAGAAAAGCTTCAAGCCCAACATTACAATATACAGTATTTTCGCTACCTAAAGCACAGAGAACCACTTTTGTTTTCTCCCTCTTTTCTTTATTCCACTTGGGCAGAGCTTCTTAGTCCTATCTATATTTAAAGGAGCAATAGCCCTCTATATACTGAGCTTTAGGGTCACAGGAGGACCCAAAGAGAACTATGGGGAATAACACTTACCCCATAGTTCTCTTGTAATTTCTCTTTATATATGTTGTAGTTCATGTAAATGGTGCATTATATGGCTTATAATATTTGAGATTATCTTTCTTAAGTTGTGTTTTTGTTCTAGACTTCTGAAAACATTTTTTTATTTCAGTTTTGCCATTTGAAAGTAATCCAGATTAAAAAAATCTTAACTTGGCTTACATGTGTCGTACTGATGTATGTGACGTGTGACTTTTAATGATCTTCTTTAAACCAGGAATGTCAGAATAACATCAAAGAAAAATCACATGGTTCTGGTTTTATTTAAATTTTTTTGCCATTCTCACATTTACTAAACTTTTGAATCCGGTATTTGTGTGGGGTTCCTCCTGCTGATCGCTAAAATAACCAACTTATTGATTATGTTCTAGACATGTGATTTGTTACCTTTACAAATGTTTTTTTTTTCTCTTTTGTCAATAGACTGTGAAATCATGGGCAACGCAGAAAGCCAAAATGTAGAGCATGAATTGTACGGTAAAGAACATCCCAGCCTTGCGCGTAAGCACACATCCCGTTCACTTCGCATCTCCAACAAAGCCTCTCGCCGTGTTCGTCATGCGTCATCGGGAAAGCCAGTTCACCGAAATTCTGAGGTCAGCAATAGGTCAAGCAGCACTCCCAGCATCCCACAGTCTCTAGCAGAAAATGGCATGGAGCCATACTCTCAGGATGCCAACCTGGATGACTATGATAGCCGAGGTTGGGTAGATATGGGCATGAGGCCGGTCTCCTATCATACCGATTCTTCTGTTACGCCAAGTCTTAACAGCAGCACTGTCCTCACAGCAGCCTCCATGCAGAGCATGCAGGACTCTGAAGAAAGTAGGCTCTACGGGGAGGAATCTGCCTATTTTACAGATGGGAACGGTCGCTCTCAGCTGTACATGACGAACGGGCCAAATCTCTTGGATGCTGCCAGTTTCAAGAAAAAACGCTCCAAATCTGCCGACCTATGGCGAGAGGACAGCTTAGAGTTCTCTCTCTCGGACCTGAGCCAAGAACACTTAACCAGTACTGAGGAAATTTTATGTTCCACCGAAGAAAAGGATTGTGATGAAACCATTCGGAATGATCCTGGAGACTCCCCTCAGCAACTGGATGCTTCCCAACGTGCCAACTCTCTCAGCGACTTGTACCCACAGAAGAGCCCACACTCCATCAATGGAGTCCCCAGGAAGAAATTCATGATTTACTGTAGAAATTTGGTTTCACATTCCCCTGAGTCTATGAAACGCAAACCGGCAACTGCTTCAGCAGACGAGCCACCTTCATACAGCAACTATAACACCCTGCCTTGCCGAAAGTCCCATTGTCTCTCTGAAGGAGCCACTAACTTGAAGCTCAGCCACAGTAATAGCATGCATGGGCGGAGAGCTAAAACTACTCAGGTAAAGGTTTTACCTTCTTTTACAACAAGTATTGCAAAAATAACTGAGAAAAGGGGAACCCTAAAATGTGATTTTGCCTTTTTTTTTATACTATAAGGGTTCCTTTTTCATTTGGGTAATGTAGATAAAATATATTGCATATCTATAGAAATTGAGAGTTGGTTGATGTCTTTACATTAGTGTATCTAAACCCAAAAACTAAAATGTAATACATTGCATTCCTTAGATGTGGTGACTTAAAAGTTGCAATGTGTTACAATTTTGTCTTTGGCTTTAGATTCTAAGGCTTTTTGTGTTTTAAATGTCTAACTCAAAATTGATTATTATACTTATTCCAGCGCGGTGTGGGTGTCTCTAGCATGGATTTCCTTACTAGGTACAGTTATCTGTGGGGAAAAAGTGAAGGTCTCTCAGTACCACTGAATGTTGTCTGAGATGCCGCATAATCTCAGAGTGTATTGCCATCCTGATAAATGGGCATAAATAGTAGGGATGAGGCGACGAAGGAGCATTAAGCCACCTTCCCGGCCTATCAGGAAGCCGGGTGCCGTGTAATGACACGGCGCCCGGCTTCCTAATTGGCCAGCTTCCTGACCAATCAGGACCTGGGCAGCGATTACAGTCATTACACACTGCCTGGCTTCCTGATTGACTGGGAAGCTGGCTCCATGCTCCCTCATCATCAAGTGATACCAGAAGTATCGGGCTAGGCATCGGAGCATTTGGGCGAGTACAAGTACTTGCCCAAATACTCGGCATCGGCACCGATGCTAGTATCAGTGCATCCCTAATAAATAGGATACAAACATTTCATGCATAATATCTCCATGAATAAACCATGCAAGACTGACCTTACAAAGAACTGGACAAGGTGGAATTTTTGTAATATTGTTTGTAGTTTATGAATTGTAGGAATGCACAGATACCGGTTTTTCGGTATCGAGTAAGAGTACCAATATATTTTTTTTCGTTACTCGTTGATACCGAATACTGATAACGGAAGTCCCATTAATGAAGCCGGGCAGCGTGTAATGACTTAGCCGGGAAGATGTCTCCATGCTTCCTCTTCACCAGGTGACAAGGAATCATGGAACAGGCTTTCTGGCCAATCAGGTGGGGGGGTTAATGACTTGCCTCCCGGCTTCCTAATTGGCAGGAAAACCAGCTCCATGTGTCTTTCCTAGTGATGAGGGAGCATGGAGCCGACTTCTTGGCCAATTAGGAAGCTGGGCAGCGTGTAATGACTCACCGCCCAGCTTCATGATACCGGAAGTACTTGTACTCACCCAAATACTCGGTATCAGTACCGATACTAGTATCGGTATTCATGCACCCCTAATGAATAGTTACACAAGTTTTCCAGCTATGCCTCACAGGTCTGGTAGCTGCCAAGTAGTCTGCTTCTTCATTTCCAAATGATCAGATTGCTCTTTGTGTGGTTACCTGTACAAGCTGTTAAAGAAGAAATCATTGGTTCACCTTTCACAGATTGATTCTACAACAACCTTCAGCAAACTGTCTGTTATTTTCCCAAACTTATTCCACTAACAAAGCACTTGAGTTATCTACCAGGGAAATCCTTGGAGGGGGATCCTGGCTATAGTGATTAGTAATCTTGGTTGAGTGCAATGTCTTAATCCTGTTTAACTCCTAGTATTAACATCCTCTGCTCTTCAGGGACTTTCGGCGTAATTTGAATGCAGCATAATTAGGTTAAACCGTTCCAGTTACTCAATTTCCCTAATTAGTGCATTTAGTTACTTTTGTACCAAGTACAGTAATCTTTTTCTGGATGCCAGTGAAATTTGTACCCACATAATTAAATTTAATGGCCTACAAAATACAGAGTCCTCTATAAGGACCGATTAAAGTTACATATTTATCCTCGATTTTTTTTTTAGATTTAATATGGAGCACATTAAAGTATGTATGTAAACCTTAAAATGAATGTTATGGGGGAGACTTTTTTTATAATTACAAATTTTGGATTGGCTGCAGTCTCTGTTCGTTCAACAATTTTTCACCTGACTCTGACTTTGTCAAAAGTTGAATAAAAAAAAAATCTACTTTTGTTGAATGGTGTGGGGCCACTAATACAACCCAATTCCAAAAAAGTTGGGACAATGTGTAAAACCTACATAAAAACACAACACAATGATTCGCAAAATTCATAAACCTATTTTTTACTCAATAGAAAATGGAAAACATATCCAATATTTAAACTGAGAAAATAAAATAAAATAAAAGTCATTTTGAAATTGACGGCAACAACACGTCTCCAAAAAGTTGGGACAGGGCCATGTTTACCATGTGTTGCATCCCTTCTTCTTTTAACAACACTCTGTAAACATCTGGGAACTGAGGAGACCAGTTGCTGGAGTTTTGGGAGAGGAATGTTGTCCCATTCTTGGCCTGACTATAGGATTCTAACTGCTTAACAGTCCTGGCTATTTATATTTTTAATTTCCAGATGCACCAAATATTTTCAATTGCTGAAATGTCTGGGCTGCAGGCAGGTCACTTAAGCACCCGGACTCTTCTACTATGAAGCCATGCTGTTGTCATAGATGCAGTATGTGGTTTAGCATTGTCCTGCTGAAATATAAAAGGATTTCCCTGAATAAGACCCATTTGGATGGGAGCATATGCTGCTCTAAAACCTGGATATAACTTTCGTCATTAAAGCAATGGTCACGCCATGTCTGGACCAGTTCTGGAGCAAATCTGCAAACACAGTGCATCCTTACTGACATTTTACTGCGTTATGGTGCTTTGAAGCTTAAAATGGGCTTCCAGGTGCAGTCCAGTGTGTTTGCCTATTGTGACAATGCTGCTCCTGCATAGATGCATTACAGTGAGTGAGAGTTGTCACTGTAGGACAGGAACTGTTACTGGCAGAATCCGCAAAAAAAAAAAAGCCTGCAAAATGAAACTAATGCAGCCGCCATGTCTATCAAATGACTAGCTACATTTGTTACTTTTGTGTTCTTGGTTTTAGAATTTGGACTTTGTAAGCCCACTTTTTTCACTTTTGTGTAGCGCATGAATCCACAATTTTGCACGTGTTCACGAAACGTGAAAAAAGGACGCTTAAGGTGCCATTCACTGATAATGCAAGAAAGAGGCTTGAAGCTCCAAAAGGTGCACAAGCTTCTTTGTGCATTTGTTGCACGTAGGCCATTTAAATAGATGGACTGCCCTATGTGTGACTCGCGACAAATGTGCGTTATTGCGATGTGCTAGACTAGTGTGAATGGGGACGCAAATGCTATCTGCAGATGTTCTTACATTTTCTATACAGACCGGTCATAGCGCAGATTTATTGATGTTTATCATGCTGTACCGTGGACACTGTTCATACAACCATAAAGTCATTCAGAGATGCAATTATATTGTTACAAGCAAACTGAATGTTGTGTCTGTGTTTACTTGAAAACACAACAGGTGAATGGCACGAACAAGCAAATATTTACCGATGCCTCAAATCTTCCTCCTCCTCTTCACCTTCACTTGACCCTTAGTGAAGAATCCTACACTCTCCAAAATACTCCAAAGACCTCTATAGATAAAAAAAGAAAACAAAATCTTTACCGTATAATCTGCAAATTCTCATTCTTGATGTTGATGAATATGTAAAAAAATCAATTTTTTGACACAATTTACTTTGTTTTTTAAAAATTATTTTTATTCATTAATTTACTGTTAAGGGCTTTGGAGAAATATCAGCGGTCTAAACAGCAGACCCCTGATATTTACCGTTTGAAATGGAAAAAGAGATTGAGGACACGGAGTGCTTCTGTCCATTCATAAACTGTGGGGATAGTACCGGTATCAGTTACTATGTCCACAATCAGTTACTATGTCCACAATTATGAATGAACAGGAAGTTCATTAATATTCATTAATAGTTGGGGACACAGTAACTAAATACTATGTCCTCCGTTATTTACAAACATTGGTGTGATCAGAACTGATCACACACTGGTTTGAGCAGTACATGGAGAGATCAGCAAATATTTCACATATTTTCTGATCCTTCCCACTCTCAATCATGTGTCTGCTGTCCCCAGACACTGACATCGGTCAGCGGGGTGCATTACCTCTGTGCAGCACTAGATGGCTCTGTTCATGTCGCTGTACATCTTCTCACTGCTTTGAGCTGAGTGGGCGGCGCCAGGGAATCATCTTGGGGAGGTGCAGCGGGTTTAAGCGGGATAGGTGAGGGCGTAGTACAACTTCTCTCCTCCCTGCTGGGCGCAGGCAGCTGGACCGGCCCTATGTCCTCTGATACCCTATGCTCCTGCCGACACAGGCAGGGGAGAGCATTGAGGATAAGAGGGGACACAGACCGAAGCTTCCAGGTGGTGCCCAGTGTAGAGGAGCGAGGCTGGGGATGCACCACATTTTCGACTGTTTTTGTACTATCTGCATTTGGTGGATCCCTAATAAAAGGTTATGTTGGGAGGTTTAGTGTAGGGGTGTAGTAACTGGGGCAGCACAGACAGTAATTACACTCCTTGACTAGGAGAGAGCTATGATTTGCAAGGAGTCTTTACAAGAGAGTCAACTCCCTAGCACAGCCCCCTCCTGGCCATGGTAGTGCATTGACTCTCCTGGAGTAGTTAAAACTGCTAACAAGTTTTAAAGGCACGTGGCAAATGAATAATTGGAAACGGATACATGATGGGTAAGCCTTTAAATGCTTGATTTTTTTTTTTTTTCTTTCTGTGCTTTTACCTGCATTTTTTGTAAGTTGAGAACAGGTTTTCTTTAATTCCATATGGATTCTTCAAAGTAATGTGAGCAGAGTCCCTTTTTTCCCTTCTCCTTCTGTGATGACCGGTCCTTTTTGCGGTGCTTCTGTTGTGACATGCGACCACCTGTCTATGCGGCATTCCATTGTGAGCCTAGGTTGTGAAATGACCCGCTGCCAGGGGGTGTGTCCGGGACAGCCTGGACTGTAAGTAAGTGGGTTGAATGCCGCTGGTCATCATCCATCC